CTAGGTGAAATGCGGCCGATCCCTTTGGTTTGTTATTGAAGGATAGTCACAATATGCGTAAGAACTGCCACCGAGTTGGTCCGAATGGTATGTATACAGCCGTACGACCCTGAGAAAGCCGAACTTTGCTCTCAGTTGCTCGATCTGAAGCCGAGATTTGAGCAGTCCGCTTAACCTTGAGAAATATGGTTATCAACTATGCGGATATAGTAAATAAGATTCAATCTCTCGCTAGTAGCTACTAGTACACTGTGTTTGCTGGGATCTACACAAAGGCTATCAGCCATTTGTCCCGCCGGATTACCAAAGTTAAACACGTTGATGTTGTTGAGAGAATGACACATTTATGCGTTGAGAAATCCAGGTATATGTAACTACCCAAGATGGGACGATTCCACGATAAGACAACTTTATGGGTATGGGTTTTTCAGTTGCAACAACGCGGCAACAGGCAGCAACCGAAGAAATGTGTTTTTATCAGGAAGGTCAAATTCCTGAAAGTAACCTCAGAACGCCCGAACCCTAGTGATTCACCAAAATCTCAACAGGAAAGTCGGCAGGCATCCAGGCCAGTCCAGTCAGTCAATCATTCAGCAAAAGCTAATGAGTGTTCGTGCACACCACAGAAGCAGGATCGAATGTGAGCTGCGTTCAGGCATTTCATAAAGGCACGATCACTGTTGATGGGTGTTCACTAACGCCTATCAGACAGCCTGGATCAATGTCAGAAAGTCCCCTTTAAATAGCGTGGGGCCGTTGTAACTTTTGCTCTGGCACTCGCTTGTTCGGAATATAGCTGTTGTGTTCCCTTCTGTGAGTCTTTTTTCAGGCACTGCGCGCTGGAGCGTGTCAGCAGCAGATACCACAGATTGGCGAACCAGCAGATATAACAACACCCACCTTTGATCAGTGCAGGTGGGAGGTCAACTGGACCAGAGGCTCGGTGGCGCTTGGGAGAACACATACAGTCATAAACCTCAGAGGCCGTAGACAGTTTCACGTTCACCGTCCAGGGTTCTGCGTCACCTATGGGCTCCCAATGGGTGCCAGCTGGTGGCTATGACAGTTGTTCGAAGTATTCGGCCAATCGGTCGAGGCTTTCTTCCTTGTTCGAGATGTTCACCCCATTCCGATCCTTGATGGCTTCACTCACGGGTGCTTTCCGGGGACCGGTCGCACGGATCAACTGAAATAATCTTCGGTCATTACGGGCCTCTTCCATTTCCTTAGCTTTCTGAGTCTACCACACTTCACGGTCGGATTGCACGCTCACCTTCACTTGACATCTGATAATTCATCGCATCAAGTTATGTTCGGGGCCGGGTGGGATATTTCACCGAGATTCAAGGGGTGCCACCCTTCGGTCTGACGAGAACCTCGGTCACAACGGACAGGTAATCATTGGTGTATTCCCAACTCCAGTTGACGATAATACCATCCTGTACTGTTTGTGAAGCCGGCATGTCCTTGGGACGATGAGCAAGTTGGGCTGCAGGAGTTCCGCACAATCCATCGGTCAAAGAAAAGTCAATTAATTACTAGTAAATACAGACGGAGCGTCAAAAAACAACCACCAAATCCTCGATGGATTAGAGCCCTTTTCCAATCGTCTCAACGCACAGAAGTATTGCGATCCCGCGATATATTACTACAAGATAACAAGTAGTACAGCGACGTTATAAGAGGAAATACGTCCTCGATATGTCCTGAGACTTACCTATGGTCCCAATCAAACGGTTTTCTGCTGATCCAGCCAGAATTTTGAAGTATTCATTCAACGCCATACCATCCTGACAATGGTGAGCATGCAACGTGAATGCGTACTCTGTGTCCCGAAAGTAAGACGCAGCACCATTGAGCAACGCAATGGCTTGTTCAGCGACTACAACAGAAAGGAAATAAAAAGCAGTCCTTCACGTGTACCTTCGTTACCACAGCAACAACAATACTTCGTCTTCGACAGATTTCCCTGATCCTCTGAACTGTAAGGCCCAAGAGGCCTCGAGACAGATCAGTGGTTAAGGCATGAACTTTTTGACTGGAATGCTCGTGTTTCGAACCTGAACCCCCGCATCCCGACTGCTGCGGTCTAGCCTTGGGGACCTGGCAGTATCTCCGCCCTCGTGTTTCCCTAAACCAACATGGTAGTTAGGTGACGAAAGGGTATTGTAGCTGAACGACTGTTTTTTTTTATCAAGCCAAGGGAACTAATTCTCAATGAGCAACGTTTGGTCACTTTGCGGACGAAAACTAAGACCAACCGTTATTTTTAAATGCCACATCCGCTCTTATTTCTTCGGTTGGTTTTTCTGCACGGTGAATCATCGAACAAGCCAGACGAGGAACCAACTGTATCATGTTCATGCTCTTGGTGTAATAGAACAAACAGCACGGGCGATTCTTGATTGAATGTAGACAGTTCGTTTATTGACTTGCTGGGCGAGGCATTGTGTACGTCTGGATCCTTTGCAGTTCAGCTATCGCCGGCGACTTGCCTTCTATTTTGTTGTTGCCTAAGCAACTGACCAGAACTGCCGATTCTGCCCCACTATGTTTCGCCATTATTGCCACTCCAAGCATTACATACTTCTCGCAACTACCTACCACGTTTGAAAGGCCTAATTGATGTCACTGACTGGACAGTGAGCAAGGCTCACGCTGAATGGCAGACTAACTCATCCTCTCATGATCTAAATTTGCACATTTTGTGTGCATCCGTTGGACGTACGGATAATCAACCCAACGAACAGACTGAGACCCAAAAAGTACGCACAGGTAACGCACAAGGTTGCGCACACTGCGGACGAGACTTCCTTGTGTTACCTGAATTTCAAATGGAGACACTTTTATTTCGATCCCCAGTCATCTTGAAAATCATGTCGAAATATCTTTTGTTTTCTATCGAGACATCCCGTAAATGGTGTTGAGAGACACTAATGATTTGGAATCGCCTGAACTCAGAAACGCTATGAACAGCTTTGCAGTCGTGAACTTATACAGGAAATTTGATTTTCTTATGGTCCTATAAACTGGCACTGAGTTGTGTGATGGGTCCCAAAGCTGTGTTGATTCGAAGGCTGCTCCCACCCTTAGCGTGACCGCCTGATTATGTGATAGACCTGAAGTACCTGAAAAACAAGTCCAATTCGATTGCTTCGTTTCTCTTGAAGAATATCTGCAAATGTACCATGGTAGTTCAGTTCATTTGTGGTATCGAATAAACTCGTACAAAAAAGGGGCCAACTCACCCTGTTTCAGACCGAAATATATGCTATCCGACATCCAGGCTACAGTTAAGTTCAACTTTTGATTCCAGCCCTCGGTCCAAGACACCCACTTGGATGGATTTCTACGGAGCCAGCTACATGCACTCTCATGGAAGAAGCCTTCCAAAGCGGAGCTACCAACTCGTAACCGGGCAACCTGGAAGCGGATAACAGAAGACAGAGCATTGGGTGATCGAGTATTGGAACCAGCAGACCGCTAACTGAGGTAGATAGACCCTAACAGCAAAGACGGGGTTGTTAATCTGGTGATTACAAAAGAGTTTATTTTTCTATCAGTTAGCTTAGATGAGCCCATCCACACCTGACCGGACGAGCAATAGACACACTAGTAACGGCAAGGTCGCGGTGCCTAATGCTTGCGATTGCACTCAGGACCGTGTACACCCTACAATGCAGTGTGAATAAGCGTGTAGTCATAAGGTACGGCAGTCGTGCGATCGTAGTGGTAAATGGAAGCGTCTGTTCAGATGCAAAGCTATTTATTGTGAAGCTGTCCGGAGGTCTGCCGTCCCTAATAACCGAACACCACATCATTTGGAGACATGTGTCACGTGCAGGACACGAACCAAACGAAGGCATGCCCTGATTGGTCAGAATGCCAGCCAATCCGGATCGAGCATCGTTGACTCGGCGCTTCTCGCCCCCCGCATGGAGATTCCAGCACGGCCTTGTGGAACACTCTGTGATTACCCTATAAATACAGTTGTAATAATTTTCCTTTCTCTCCATAAAGGGCTGTGTAAAGCGACCGTGCCTTTTAGTATACCATAGTGGGGGGGGGGGGAGCAGCAAGCAAGGGACCGATACAGAGTCGCCCTACCGTACATCAAGTTACGACAACTGGCGGCAACCCGAACCCAAGATGTCAATTTCGGCAGAGCACCTCCAATCAATTTTACGGCAACAACAGAAGCAGTTCGAAGAGACTCCAATGAGGCTTGTGGAATCTCTTATGCGGTTATAGGCAATCAGGAACGAAGTCGAAAGATTCATTTGTATAAGGTTTTGAGAAACTCAAAGTTCTTAGTCGCGTTTGTGAGCTTTCCCGGGGCGCTAGTCGAATATCTGACATCCATAGAACAAATTCGAATAGATCACTAAATTCCAACTCAACTATCAACCGACTGCGGGGTTGGTGCGTCAAACTGCAAACAGATATTACTCACAGATTTGGCTAATGGTTACAGATCGTTAAACCGGTATTATTGTCTTGCCACCACGGCTTGAGTGTGAAGTGATGCTCCACGAAACAACAGAGATTAGCTGTGCAAATCCTACACTTGATTAAGTTGGATATTTAACCGAAAAAGTCGTCAGGAAGCCTGGGAAAAAGAGTTNATTATTGTCTTGCCACCACGGCTTGAGTGTGAAGTGATGCTCCACGAAACAACAGAGATTAGTTGTGTAAATTCTACACCTGATTCAGTTGGATATTTAACCGAAAAAGTAGCCAGGAAGCCTGAAAAAAAAGAGTTATAACCTCAATCCCCGAATGTGATCTGTCTCATTAAAATAAATGTTTTTGTGGCGTCCAAAAAGTTGTTCATTGACAGCCCAGAATGGGATGTCACGATGCTCATCCATAAATACTCATTAGACATTCTCAACCGTATTCTCTAACTAATGCCGGTCAATAAAAGCGGTAAAAAAAGTGATGGGGAGGTTAAAACACTAACCTTCCGTCGAAGTTCCTCAAAATCGTAATCTGCCAAATAGATGCGCGAGGCCAACTTGTGTATAGGCGGACTGATTGAACTCAAGTTTGCCCATGAGATTTTGACTGCCTGATACGACTCGGTCCGACAAAGTTTGTCTTCAGAGTCTCGAACGGTTGGGATTGTCTCAACACCGTTTCCCGGTGTTATGGAGGACAGAGTGCCGCAAAGTGGAGGATCAATCCATTTGTAGGTGTTCGACTTGATGTTTGAGCCTTCGACGGTCCACTCGTAGACTGTAACTGGCTGACCAGTAAAACTGCTGTCGTTCGAATGGACTTCTGTTGCAGTGACAAACGGGATAAATGAGTTGGAACCGGAAGTGTGGTGAGAAGAAAGTCCAGATTTGGGACGAAACAAAAATGCGGTTGTTTAGTACCGTGACAAATTGCCTATCGATATGAAATGTTAATACGAGAAAAGCCATATGGTCGATGGTAGCCTGGAGCATCTCCTACGGAAATAAAACATGTATTGGGTTTCGGGTAGCAGGTTACCCCTCGATAAATTTGTAATCCAGGCAGTTTCCTTCCGATAAAAAATGACGCAAATCGATTATGTCGTTCAAACGCGAGCATGCTAGAGATAGTTCCTGTTATTTACATACGCTCACTGTGCCTAAACTGAAAAACGAGTTATGCGGTTTCCGTGTTACCATGAGGAACCCAGGTGATTGCAAAGAACCGTGTGGGGTGTGACTTATTCCAGTTCGCTGTGTGATTGCAAATACCTAAATGGGTTTGAAGTTTCGTGGGCTATTGACTTGGTAACAACATTTAATTCAATTCAATTTATCAGCTATAGACCGTGTAACAGAGACAATGTGGTTCCAGTAGTTGTAGCTGGGATCATCAGAAAGCGGGAGTGCGGGAGATACGGCGAAGCCCTGAAGGCGATGGCATGTTTGGTTATTTGGGGAATCGGATAGCTACGCATGAAGCCGAGATAGCTTTGATGCATGGACCCCAAAGACTGTGCGACTGGACCATTTCTGTAAGTTTCATTTACCATTGGTGAGTTGAGTCCCGGGGTCCTCATCCAGGGAGGTGGCAGCTGTCGACCCGACTCTGTTTACTGGTCAGTATTTTCGCAATTCGTTGCCACCGCTCGGTCGCTTCCACTCAGCACATAGATGGACGAAAAGAGCTTTGCGAAGCGGGTGGTATTCTGGCATACGGAGTACATGCCCCAACCAACGTAACCTATG